ACTTCCTCTTTGTTACGTTCCCCTTGATCCTGCCCTACCAGGTCTCCCACACCCACCTCCCCACCAATTTGGATCGCTTGTTGTTCCCTTGTCAAATTTATCACCACCTTCTGCAGTCTCAAATTGATTAAACATGCTATTAACATACATTGATTATTACTTGTTATTGGAATGTGAAAGTGGAAAACTAGAAGGAGCAGTAGTTGGTAAATTGGGTAATAGAAAGGAAGCCAAATAGTGCATGATAGAATTTTGCAAGACCAATGATTTGTTCATCAGAAACACCATTTTTTCAGTAACGAATGATTACTATATGTGTAGACCTTGCTGGATTGGATACACAGGAATTGAATCAACTATGTTTGTAAAAGAAGATGATAGACAGTATTATAAGTTGGAACAATGCCAGGGAACACCTGTGGTTTAGACTATCAACTGCTTTGTGCATATTCCAGTTGAAGCTAAAGAAAATGAAAACTATTTACAGACTTCTTTTTTTTTGTCATTGTTTTTTCTGTTGTTTTGTTTTCTTTTGTTGCTTTGTTTTTGTGCATATTATTATCTCTGCAAATCTATCTAGATAAGATAGGCGGGATAAACAATCTGAAGGAGAAAACAACGGGATCAACGGTTCCAGGGACACATGGGAGAAGGGGAGACGGGGGTTGGGGTGGGGAAGGAAGTAGGTGTTAAAAACCCAGGGTCAAGTGATTCAAAATCGATGGCGAGGAGGGTGTAGGAAGCCTGATAGGGCTTGATCAAGGGCTATGTAACCGAGAGGAATTACTGAAACCTAAGTGAAGGCTGACCATGTAGTGGGCCAAGAGGAAAATAAAAGGAAATAGAGAAAAGAACTAGGAGGCAAAAGGCATTTATCGAGATCTAAATATAGGAATGTACAAAGGTAAATACATATATATAACGATGGGAGAATAGATCTATGTGTATATATTTATAGGTTTAGTATTAAGGTAGCAGATGGACATTGTGCTTCTACTCAAGTACTCCCTCAACGCAAGAACACTTTGTTCTAACTGGCATTCCAGGATGCTCACCTTCCTGACATGATTGATTGCTGAAGACAAGTGGGTGCATAAGCAAATGTGGTGAAAAAAGCTAATGGTGCCCGGCTATCAAAAGATATAGCATCTGGGGTCTTAAAGGCTTGAAAATAAACAAGCGGCCATCTAGCTGAGAAGCAACAAAGCCCACATGGAAGAAGCACACCAGCCTATGTGATCACAAGGTGTCAATGGGATCAGGTATCAGTCATCAAAGAACGAAAAATCCTATCATTGTGAAGGAGGGGGAATGTGGAGTGGAGACCCAAAGCCCATCTGTAAGCAACTTGACATCCCCTTACAGAAGGGCCATGGGGAGGAGAAGGGCCAGTGAGGGTGCAGTATAGCAACGAGGAGACATACCAATTTTCCTCTAGTTCTTTAATGCTTCCAGCCCTCTGCTATCATGATCCCAATTCTACCTTACAA